TTCGGTGTAATGTATTTACTTTCTTTCTTAGCACTAGAACTACCAAACCAGTCAAAATGACTGGTTAGTACATTATTACAACGGTCATTAAGATGTCATAGCAATGTATTTTCTCAGATCTTTTCCAACTTTGATTTCACTATGAAACTGAAGAAATTAGTTGATTTATAAATTTCTATATTATTAAAAAATTATCATGTTAGTCAATCCAATAGAAATCGACTGAAAAAATCGACTTAAACAAATGAAAGCATAAGAAAGATGGCAAGTGATAGGAAATGTAAATATTTCGATATGCATTCTACTATCAATTAATAATGTACGCAGATTCCCTCCGAATTTTTAATGTAAATTGTAAAATCATAATTGTCACATATACATTACATATGTGAAGGTGGTCTCTCATGAGTAAACAGCGAATTCTTGCGGAAAATCTTTTCTTTAAACAATTTACTTAGACATGTACCGAACAAAAATTTATTACTTCACCAAAGTATTTCATCGAGTCGGAAACAAATATTATTATCTTATTTTACGACATTTCAACAGTGGTATACATTATGAATGCATAGAATCCATAGTCTGCTCATGAGAAATGGAAGCATCACGTATGAATGAGGTTAGTAGCGAACGTTGTTAAGGAAATGAGCATAAAAAATACGTGATATTTAAAAATTCTTAGTAAAATAACTGTAAATTATCCTGATGTAGATAATCTATACAGATAACAAGTTATCGATCCAATTAACGGTTCGTCTAGAACACGGTTTGATACGTTTCGTTATTAGTCGCGTGAATTGTAAGGGAGTTGAACGCCACGGGTTTACACACTTCTGCGTTTTTCTTTCCCAGGATACCGAAGGCCGTTGAATGCAATATCGATGTACGCGAAGTTCTGTAAATATTTGCAATTTATGTCACGGCGATCGTAATGGGGAACATGTAGGCATTTCGTAGGCGTGAATTACAGGTGGTTGTGTCGTATAGACGCGACGCCATCGACATCTTCCCTTCTCGAACGTCTCGAGCGTGTCGTTAAACGATTAGAATAATCCTGACATTCGATTAAATAAAATCCTTTGTTCTTTACATCTTTATACGTTGTATCGTTATATTTATTACAATGTTCCCTTCGTGCGATTAAAAGTAAAAATTGAACTACAAATCAATAAACAAGAAATAATATACTCGTAAAATAATTAATAATATATACATATGATAAATTATAATAATATGTCGCATCATCTCAATATTTCTTATCATAGATGGATGATTGAGTTTTTCGAATTGTGAAGTAAAATATTGTTGCCATTATTTGGTGTTAAGAATTATCATAAATACAACATAAGGTTGAAAAATAAAGCTCATACTTATAATTCAATTCTGTCAAACTCTAATCTCAATATGTGCTTCCAAAGTTTGGAATTCAAACGGATACGAATAAAAAATACTTCAGGTAATATGCACAAAAATATGTTTTCACAAACACGTTAAAATAAACCCCCAATAAAGCGTTTAAATAAACCCCGATTTAAAATTCTCAACGTTCAATTTAAATTGCAGAATGTATAAATTAAATAATTTTAATTTCCATTAACATTCATAATTTACATATTCTCAATCAGTGATAATAAAGCTACATTCGGAGCGTGGCACAACACGTTGGATTCACCTAACCGTGTTAAAATGAACGAAAATCGAATCTACGTGTATGCATTGTTCGTAGGTAAAGGTGGTAAATCGTAAACACTTGCGAAACAGGCCACATAATTGCATACGAACATCGACTATCTCCGTGATAAGGTATTTCGTGCGATACAAGCAATTTAATGTGCCACGACTTTGTCCGGGGCAATTGTATTTAAACCCTCGAATCATGTTATCGATACAGGATAAACAATGCGTTTACACGGAACGAGGGAATGTCTATCGATAAATGCCATGGGCGGGGAACCTCCTTATAAAACGGTCAAGAAATATTCCCCGTTCTTTCTCATTTCCATAATCATAGACTACTGTTATTTTCTACGTGTATTGAATACCTTTGACACTTGTGTTAGTTATCCATCGAACTCGCGTAAGGTTTTTCACATTTTTCGTTGGATATCGTCCTTTAGGAACAAATATTTTAACCGTAATGAATTTGTCTCGTAATGCTTGGCACGGTCGTTACGAATTGTGATTATGTTCATTTAAGCATTCCAAACATCAATCTTAATTACTCTCACTAATCAGAGATATATTATCGTTTTGTTCGCTGTTATCCTTATTACTACTTTCTATTATTTGAACATAACCATTGTTCCCTATCGTTTTTTCTACTGGCATCCCCACTATACAAAAATCTATTCCTGGACATCAACTTCGTAGACATAAGCAAAAGTAAGTAATACTTTCTTTAAATATATTAGACATGGTAGAATTTTAATATTTTCCAACAGATACCAAAAATTTAAAAAATTCCGAAATCTGTAAAAATGACGGAAAACGAAGAAAAAAACGGAAATAAAAGATCCGGAACAATGAATCACCGCAATTAATCCGATCGCGACAGTGATAACGCGATAAAACTGTTCCCTACGATTTACGATCGCTACACGGATGACACATATGTACGCTAAATCCCGTGGTCCACGGATCGAGATGTTACTCCAGTTCTGTTGGTGTTCCACACAGATATATACCGTCGGGAAACGATCGCACGATGCGTTTCCATCGAGACTTCGAGAACCGTATTTGCATAAAAATACCTCGATGCACCAGCAAGACCCTTGTACCGACAATTATTTATCGTGCACGATTGTATCACGATGGTTGGGTCGCGATGAACATCGGATTCTTTTCCACCTTTGTCACCGAATACACCGACCGCGCGTCCTCCTAGCGTCGAAGTGTACATATTCGTTTCAAGTGGCACGCGCACACGCGTCAGTCCGATAAAATCCAACGCACAAACAAACACACTGTATCGATATACCTGAAGGATTTTTCCTATCGAGGCTCGTTACCGTGATCAACCACGGAGTATAATACGTAGAGATACTCCGGCTAGCGTGTCGATTATCATCGGCAACTGTACACGAAGGAGCAACAGGTGTGTGATCACGACGGACGACGATGACGACGGTTCACCGCTAGGAGAAATCCATGTCGGTGTATTCGGTGCAATGACTCCGGTCAAGAAATCATTTCCATAAATACCTTGACAGGCAACGTTTCACCGAGTCCGCTGGATCACTGGTATCGCCGCGACTCGCGGCACACGTAGATACTCTCGGAATAAGCGGACGTTCCAGGGACTCACAAGCTTGCACGACGTGTACACGACTGAACGAGAACTTCTCACACGACAAAGTGTTGTGTTCTTTACTTACCTATTTACAAAAAAAAAATTTGTTCACAATCCGCGCACACCAAAACAAAAAAAAAAAGAGAAAGAGAGAGAAAGAGAGGGAGGGGAAGATTTTCGCAGAGAGCTACGTGCCGATCATGCTCGACTGGAAATACCTGAACGACTACTCGATCGTTCTTCGCCTTGTCCGCCTCTTACCTGTTTTGCCCAGGTGCATTCCTGGTACGGGCTCTCCGATTGGTCGGGAACGTACCTGCGGAACATGGCGCTCAGATCTAACGGAATCGGATACTTTCGACACGGTGCAACATGGACGTACTTAACGCCTTGGGAAAATACCGCGATCGAGAAGTAATTAGCAGAGAATAATGAATAATTAAAGTTTATCGACGTCGCGATCTTCTTGCATCGTGCGAATCAAGGGGGGGTTGTTGATGGAACAAAAACCGTCTCGTTGCCAAAATGGTACTGGAAGCGCCGAATATGCTATGATAATATGAAAGCTATGACAGTTTAACGGTAAAATAATCCAGATTTGAAGTTTGAAGCTTCTATGTAATTTCTTGAAAACCTTCAAATTATTTTAAATTACAGTTTTCATTACTATACATGTTGGTGCGATATATTCGAAGTAATCAAGATTTTTGTTGAAAATGAATGATGATAGCTCGATGTATTTAATACACTCTATGATGCACGAAGAACGTTATTATACATTATGTCAGTCGTTACTATTAGACAAATATAGTCATAATATTTAAAAGCGAATATTTGAAAAGATGGAAAATGAATACGTACTTATTGTACAGTACCTTGACGGTTTAGGTAATGTCACGGAAATCCCGAAGATATCCGATGACTTTTATTATGAACCAATGAGACTATTCGTTATAACAAATGAATATTATACATAATTGTTCTGAAAACAAGCATGGGTAACACTTGTTAAATAGTTAATATTTATTAAAAAAAACGAGTGTAATAAGACGTTTAATTAATTGCAAGTCAAAGAATTGATTTAGCGCATTATATGAAGTATAGTTTTACGACTTTCATGAACAATTAATTTCTTATTTAAAAAAAAGAATGAATAATTTAATTTTAAATTCTACACTGTTGCGTTTAATGTATCGACCACATTTTTTATCCGCGAGTTAAAAAAAGTCCCTTCAGGGACGACCCAAGTTTCCCTGTTTTCTCCCGTGCGCAGACGGTAATATCGTTACGTACGTTGTTATAATCTATTAATGAAACCAATTTTGTGATATTTTTCATAATTATGTTTAATTTACGAATGCATTCAAGTGGCCGCACAGAAGTCCGCACAATGCACAGACTTCGACCGCTAGGAACGACACCAGAGTCTGTATGATTATACGGCCTCCGTCCTTGATCGGTTAATTTATTGAGAGTATAATAATAGTTCGTGAAATGCTCTCATTGATAATGCACTGTTTGGTTCCATGACTACGAATGTAGAAAATATATATTTGCTTATATCAACTTTAAAATGTTTCTGCCAATTGAATTGCGACATTACTGTTGACATAATGTTTTTATGAGTTTATAGTGGGACTGCTTTATTTGTGCTGTCAACATAATCCAAATGCGTTTTATTCTATCATTTAAATAAGACATATCTGACTGAAGAGATTAACTTTATTTTTAATTAAGTATGTACATTTAGTTTGCTATTAATTAATATTACATAGATAAGTATCATAATTTACTTATCATTTGCATAGTCTGCTGGGTTCTTACGGTGCAACTTATGATTTTCTTCTGTTGCCCAATCCATTAGTATATAGGTACCAATAAACCCTGTAAAAGAGATTATAAATTAAATTATTGATACCTCACATATTATAAAATATTTATTAAGTAATAAAATGGATATAATGCATTTATTATTATTTGTTACAATGGAATTTTTTAAAACATTAACATATTAATTATTCTTGGTGGAAGATATATAATGTGGTCTTAGAATTAACCAAAAGCTGAAATACTTATGTCGTGAGTACTGAAGCAAGCGAATTGATAAAAAATAAGATGTGAAGGACGTATATTCTTTTTTAGTTTAATAGTTTTTGTTTGAATCTAATGTCTATAGTTGTTTCATCTATACAAATTCTAATATTGCAACTATTAATCAATATTTGTAATTCTTATGTTAGCAAAAGATGTACCATTAGTTAGAAAAATAATACCAACAACTAATTATGATTCTATCACTAAAAGTTCTAAAATAAAATATATACAGCTTTATGGTAACTTAGCAAAGGTAAACTTTACAATCATACTTTATTGTACAACTAGAAAATAAAGAAGTACTTACATGGTACAACATAGAGTATACTTTCATTGATTCGGCGTAGCAAATTCGGTGCACCGTCCGATATTGCTCCAGCAAATGACTTTTGTTCATATGGACTGAGGCGAAAATACGTAATGCCACTGATTTTGGCAAGGTTTCCGAATTTCTTACCCATTTTGAGTGGATTCTGCAAAAAAAATGTCAATCTATTAGACAATGAGCAAACATAACCAAGTCACAGGAAAATCTAATAAAAACTGTAATTACGTCATAGACAAACGTAAAATATGAAAGAAATTTATTTTCCTTTTCTATAAGTAGCAAATTGTTTCAAAATGCATTTATTTAAAAATAATACTTAAAACTTATATAACACTTTACATACTTCGCAACTGAAAAGACAGGATACTCGTAATCACTCGTAATGCACTGATCTGATATTCCAGCCGAAACACTCTTCCATTCGTCACTAAAGATCAATACGCCATCTGATTCTTAAGAAGCGGCAAATTTAAATTTTATAATATCAATCTGCTTTTCCATTAACATTTATATCATAAAATAACAACTGTATAATTTCACAGCGGAAATTTTATAATACTGTCAAAATTTGCAATACATTTGTAGACAATAAAAAGTTAAAAAGTAAATTTGTAAAATAATAATGTAAAAGACTATAATCTGAATCTCTGATTGAGTAAAATTATTTACTGCACGTGCATAATTAATCTCATGTCAAAAATACACTTTTAAAACCTTTCATATAAATAATAAATCCTCTCTATTCGCATCTGTGTTATTGATCACCTGTAAAAAGCATGATATCCAAGGACACTTTAAGATTCAAAAATATAATAATACAATACATAATACAATATATTTGAGAAAATGTGTATGAAATATGAAACACATTTGTAATTGGCGGCCATAACTACTTGAACCAAACAAATTCAGTATGTATCTAAAATAAGAGCTCTCTCTCATGTCATGATATTCAATAGTAATTCCACTGCGCCAAGTTCGAATGCGGTGGCACTATGGGAATTAATTTGTTCCTTTCATTCACGCGATATTCTGAATTCAAATCATTATTTTTCCACAGTAAAGTTATATTCAATCTTGTAATCGAAATATGGAAACGGACTTTCAGTAAAATTTCGTATAATATATAATCTGTCCACTTTGTATACATTTTGTATATATGATCATTTTTGTACTTCGATATTACGTTTTCTTTTCCTGCTTCATGATTAGTACAAATACGGTAAATAATATGTAAGGTACGTAACAAAGGTGAAAAAGAGAAAGGAGGGAAAGATTTTCGAAATCTCTCTAGTATAGTTCATTAATTAAAATATTGATTGTGCGCACCAAAGGAACGATTGATTTCCGACAGTATCGTATTCGAGCCCAGCGTGGCCTAGCGTCGCGATCTGACCAGTGAATATCACAGTTTAACCTGGTTTAACCGGAAAGCTCCTGTTTCTTCTAGTGACTCTTGGATGATCAAAAGTGGGGAGGACAACTATAATTTTGATTGCCAGTTATGCGCATGGCGCTGTCATCTAGACCATAGAATAACACGGTATGATAGATGTGCCAATTTTGCTAGTAACTCTCAGATGGTAGTAGTGGGGAGGACCACTATTTGCTCGGCAGATACATTCAAGTAGGTGTAAAGGGAAGAAGAGGTGTATGAATCAGGGACTAGGACAGTTGCTCGTGTGCGAGGCTCCGCGTGATACCGTTGATGTTGTGCGCTGTGTGGTTCGTGTTTGTCGCGTTCATTGTCAACTGCTTTCCATCAAACACACAAATGCAGTTCCTGATGATGGGTTTCCGAAACGCGCTTCCAAATAAATCCTCGCAGCCGGCGGCTGAGTAACGGTGCTGGAGCTGGCGGCGAGGTCCTCACCCGCGTTAGGTGCGTGTGGGCCACCTATCCACGTCCAAGCTGTGCTGGGCACTCAAGTCATGGTATCGAGGTTCGATACGAACTTCGGTTGCGAGGATTTTTTCGGGACTTATCATTGCACCCAAGACATGGCTTGCGATCGTGGTGATTCGGACTTCGAGTTCATTATACCGCCAGAGGCGCCGGTCTTCGAACCAAGTATCGAGGAGTTTCACGACCCCCTTGGCTACATCGCGAAAATACGACCGATAGCTGAGAAGTCTGGCATTTGTAAAATCAAACCGCCGCCTGTAAGTAAATCCTTTCGGTCGCGATTACATCAATCCTTCCTCTTCTCTTTCTCCGTCGTGTCTCTGCTTTCTCTTCTCTGTCCGTTCTCGTGGGAAGGACGCTATACATCGATCCTTCTATTCTTCGCTGTCGCGTTTGAACGGGCCTCACCACTCGACGAACAAATTTTCTGTCTTTTTTGTGATTGTCGAGGCGTGCAGATTGCACGCACGACCTCGTTTATGTACTGTGACGCTTCCGTACGGACATCGTAGCCGTGACATCACGAAATAAACGAGATCCTACGTAATACATAGTTTAGAACGAAAATGAATCGTTAAATAATGTCCATTTCTTGTGGTACTACACGTTTATATGGATATTATTGCTCCACTTTTTTATCGTTGCCATTGAAACGTTAGAGTCTGGTAAGAGTACGTGCAGTGTTCCCGTCTACACGGGACGAATGATAATGCGGTGAAAAAGGGAAGAAAAGAGCACGGTGTCGTTTCTCGAGAACAGCATTTGTCTTTGCATGATATTCCGATAGTGTTGCGACGATACTTGAAATGCGTCGATTATGTTTTTTTTCTTTCGATCAGGGAATTACGGTCGCAGGTGAGACAGAGAGACAGGATTCACGGAAACTAAAAAAAATTGGAAATGGAGTACGCTTGGTACTCGTCTCATTGCGACATTAATATCGTTATAGCTAGGAGGTACGCTATGTAAAATGGCCGAGACAATCGAAACAATGTCACCTTAGGCAAAATGTCTCGAAATGTTTCGGATATGCGGAATGATACTGATGGCATTGATAAGGAAAAAGCCTGAAAATGTTATCAGTATTCATAATTGACGATTCTCTCGAGATGTTCCTGATATCGTAATATTGCAAATACGAGAATTGTTTGATGTTTCCCAGAAGTTTCTATTTCGTTTCAAGGCACGTACGCGGTTGTATAAGGTCCCGTAGTAATACATTTTATCAACTTCGTCGAGTTTTTCGTCAAAGTACAGAAATGCTTTCGTTCGTAAATCATTTCCAGATAAGGATATCACGGTTTTTGTCTTTCACAATACCTCTGAGCTGAAAATGAAAATGAGTAACGTTGAATTTTGTTAGGCATATGCATAGGGAAATTTTTTCTTACGTACTCTCTATCGTGGTTTATTGTTTGTTCTATTGTATCATGATTCGAAGCGATCTTTACCATCATTTTGCATTCATATGTGAAAATCAAATATTCTTTGTGTAAGTTTTTGGCAAACATATTTTGGTTTAGAGAATAATAAAGGAGAGAGAGTAGATCAATTTTCGTAATAACCCTAGAACAAACCGAGTGCTGTTAGTATTAACTTCCATAAATGACTACATAAAATACGCAATAAAATAAAAAAATTAATTTTTTCTAGAAATTTTACGTACGATTACATTTGGTTGTTACCTCCAAAGTAATGATATTTCAGAGCATCGCGTGAGAATGATGGTAATACAAATTATTCAAGATAGATTGCATAAAATGTACGTCGACAGATGCCTTGCAACTAATTCCTAATCCTATTTGCGTCTTGGAACAACTTGTATTTCTTCAGAATAAGGGTCTAACGTTTTTAAAAAAAAAATGGTTCTTATTTCAATAATTCACTATGAAGAATTACAGTAAACTAAATTAATGTGCCATTTTAACTATAAGTAGGAAAGTATTATGTTTTCACGATTGAATCATTTTCAAGACACATAGGTAGTACCTTAGTGCCAACCCCGTGAATCGTCTCTTTTACGATTCAGAATTAATGTTTTGCCAAGGTTGTTACTGTTAATTTTGTTTGACGGATTCGTCTAGTTTATCTTCGAATCTGTTTGAAGTGTATTGATTTATTCGCCAGTGAATTCGTTTATTTTCACCCTGGCCTTATACGTTGCAGAAATATATGCTGTTGTTTGATGACACTTCGGTGTCTAATATGTCACGTAATTAAATATGAAAGGTCTGAAACAGACGTCCGACAGTGGAAATTCACTTTTAGACGTATTTAAAAGAACTCGGTGTCCTTAAAAAATTGGACCGATCTTGCATGGTTGTTGCGTCATGATAGAGATGAAGCTACGAAAGCACCTATTGATTATTTAGATACATATATTTATGTTACTACCTGTGTCAATAAATTTTTGATAATAGAGTATAAAAAAGTTCATTTACTTTTTTTCCTATATATCAGGTCGGTATCGATTCGAAACTGTAACCATTTTTCTAGTATTTGCTTCTATTACATACTTAATACATATATGTATATGTATATTTTTGTTTCATTAAACTAATCGATTCATCCAAGGACCTATAAGTATTATCGCGCAAATACACGAATTCCAAAGTTACAGTAAACAATAGTAATATGATTCTTGAGGTATATGTGTGCTTCTGTTTCTTAAACACAAGTAAATTTCGCTTTTATTTTTGTTTATACGCTAAATGCGATAACAAAAAAGATATAAGAAACACTTTTTAATGAAAAAAACTCACTCTATTAAAAGACAAATAAACATTAATGATATGTGAGTTATTGTCATGAATGTCTTGCTTGCAGAATTGGCAGCCACCATTTGCTGTTGATGTGGATAAATTCAAATTTGTTCCAAGGATACAAAGGTTGAATGAATTGGAGGCAAAAACTAGAATAAAACTTAATTTCTTAGATCAAATTGCAAAATTCTGGGAGCTTCAAGGATCTTCATTAAAAATCCCTCTTGTTGAACGTAAAGCTCTTGATTTGTATTCTTTACACAAAATAGTTACAGATGAAGGTTTGTTTCTGTTATTTATTTGTGAAGGCCAATAATGAAAGTTTAAATAGTGTAACAATGTTGATATGTTCACACTATGTGCAGGTGGAATTGAAACAGTGACAAGAGATAGGAGGTGGGCAAAAATTGCAAATAAATTGGGTTACCCATCTGGGCGTAGTGTAGGAAGTATATTAAAGAATCATTATGAAAGAATTTTATATCCATTTGACGTCTTTAAACAAGGGAAAACTTTAACAGATATTGTAAGTTATTATATATAGTCTCTGTTAATGTTATTTTGAGAGTAATAAATAACGATACATACTTAACATACATTGCATTACGTAGAAAATTGAACCAGACTCCAATGTAAGTGAAAAAAAGGATCGGGATTATAAACCACATGGAATCATATCACGACAACAAATCAAACCTCCAGCTGAGAAATTCTCACGTCGGTCTAAGAGATTTACTGGTCAGGAAGAAAAACCAGAAGTATCTATTAAACAAGAGGATTGCAAAGAGGAATGTGATTCTGACAGCGATTGTAAAGATGGACTCAAATGTAAAAATGGCGATGACAATAGTAAAGAGCTTAAGAAATTACAATTTTATGGAGCTGGTCCAAAAATGGCTGGGTTTAATACCAAAGAAGCAAAGAAATCGAATAAAACTAGGGGGTTAAAACTCGTTTATGAATTTGACCCTGTAAGTACACATTGCACTGTATTCTACAATCATGTATAAATAGTTTCATCAAATTCATACATGTTTTTCTGTAGTTGGCAAAATATATTTGTCACAATTGTGGAAGAGGTGACAATGAAGAAAGCATGCTTTTATGTGATGGATGCGATGATAGTTATCATACATTCTGTCTAATGCCACCACTGACAGAGATACCAAAGGGTGATTGGCGGTGCCCAAAATGTGTTGCTGAGGAAGTTTCTAAACCAATGGAAGCATTTGGTTTTGAACAAGCGCAAAGAGAGTATACTCTCCAACAATTTGGAGAAATGGCTGATCAATTCAAGAGCGACTACTTCAACATGCCTGTGCATGTATGTTACCTCACTCGTGTCCTCTAATAGAATGCTACAAAGTTAATTGAATTACACAAATTAGTAATAAACTTATCTCTTCATAGATGGTGCCAACATCTTTGGTAGAGAAAGAATTTTGGCGAATAGTTTCTTCAATCGATGAAGATGTTACGGTTGAATATGGAGCAGATTTACACACAATGGATCATGGATCTGGTTTTCCAACTAAAACAAGCGTTAATTTATTTACTTGCGATCAAGAATATGCTGAATCTTCGTGGAATTTAAATAATTTGCCAGTGTTACATGGAAGTGTTCTAGGTCATATTAATGCTGACATCAGTGGTATGAAAGTACCATGGATGTATGTTGGTATGTGTTTTGCAACATTTTGCTGGCATAACGAAGATCACTGGAGCTATTCAATTAATTATTTACATTGGGGAGAACCAAAAACTTGGTATGGTGTGCCAGGTTCTCAAGCAGAACGATTTGAACAATCAATGAAATCTGCTGCACCAGAACTTTTTCATAGTCAACCAGATTTGCTCCATCAACTGGTGACTATCATGAACCCTAATATTTTAACAAGCGAAGGTAATGCACAAATCTAATACCTCTAATGCGTCATCAAAAAGTACCAGTTATTACTAATATTGTTTGTATTTTACTATATAGGTGTTCCAGTATTCAGAACTGACCAACATGCTGGTGAATTTGTTGTAACATTTCCTAGAGCGTATCATGCAGGCTTCAATCAAGGATATAACTTTGCTGAAGCTGTTAATTTCGCACCCGCTGATTGGGTATACTATCCTGTCAAATTTGTATCGCCAATTTCAATATTATACGTGCTTTATAGATTCTGTTGTCTGTTTAATAGCTTAAAATTGGACGGGACTGTATATCACATTATTCAAATTTAAGACGATTTTGTGTATTTTCTCACGACGAACTGGTATGCAAAATGTCACTAGATCCGGATTCATTGGACATAGGCATTGCAACTGCAACTTACCATGATATGCTACAAATGGTGGACGATGAGAAGAAGCTTAGAAAGAATTTACTGGAGTGGGTGAGTTCTGACTTTTAAAAGTTAATTTAGATGAATAAATATCATAATTTCACAAGATCTCCAGCTCTGGTAACAATACAAACCATTGAGGAGCTTTTGCATATTAATTCATATATAATGTGTCATTTATTTTTTTTTGTATACCTCATTCTTAAATAAAACAAACATTAATTCAGTTTTATCGAAGAACGCGTATCGACTCATAAAAGTCTGGATAAAATCTTAGAAGTAAAATGCAAACAAACCATTAATAAAAATAATTTATTTAATTAATTCCGTAATTCTATTAATATTTGACGACGGTTTTCTATCACATTAAATTAAGTGAATTTTACTTTAATTTGGTTACAAAAGAATTCCACACGCGTTTAATAATATTTTGAACATTCAAATCTTGCCTCCAAAAGAGTTGAATACACAGAACGGATTGTATTTCTGAATGCACGGACCAATGTATTTAGGTCAAACAGTATAGTGTGTGCCGAAGCAGTTCACAGATTGGCACGTACACAGTGTACCACGCACACGTCGGCAAACGCATACACACACGGGTAACCATGCGGGAACACGCGGTAAAAGACGTGTGTGTGCGTTTGATATTGCCAACCATTGGTCATTGCAGTAGAGCTCCGCCATCCACGTTATATTCCTCATTAATGCCTCCATATATTTCGTTATATTCGGTTAGCTTGTGTTCGTTGTCGTTAAAATAGTTTTTGTGCGATCGTTCTTTAGTTAACGACCTTGACTAGCTGATGCCTATTTGGTGTGTCTCTGCTCTTGATTATGTAACTTTTATTGGTGAATAGAGGTTATGTTTTTAAAGTATTGCCATGATGCTAAACAGGCACTACGTTTCTTCTGTCGATCCAGTGAATTTTCCCGTTTTTCCTACGAATTTATCGAAATGCGCTAATGATCACCTTAAATGAATAGTATATTTGTAAAATATATCTGTAACTTGAAGTCAGTTCAGCTACAGATGGCTACATGTGTTTCGTTGCTAGTCTCATCCTGTTTTAATGATTCCTTTAAAATGTGAGAATGTTAAAACGACAGCACAAATGATCTTTGTGTTAAAAAATTTCTTTTTTAGGGTGTAACGGAAGCGGAACGCGAAGCATTCGAACTTTTACCGGACGATGAGAGACAGTGCGAAGTGTGCAAAACGACTTGTTTCTTGAGCGCGGTTACATGTTCTTGCCAGAGTTCACAGTTAGTTTGCCTGAGACATTTCACAGAACTTTGTGATTGCCCCCCAGAGAAGCATACATTACGTTATCGCTACACATTAGACGAATTACCAATTATGTTACAAAAGCTGAAACTGAAAGCAGAGTCTTTTGACTCATGGGTAACAAAAGTAAAGGATGCGATGGATCCTGATAAGAAAAGTGATAAAATTGAGCTAACTGAGTTAAAAGAGCTCTTAAATGAAGCAGAAAACAAGAAATTTCCAGAAAGTGAACTATTAACGGCTTTAACAACTGCTGTACAGGATGCCGAAAAGTGTGCAAGTGTTGCACAACAACTTTTGAATAATAAGCAACGTACCAGGTATGACTGTTTTTCAGTTTGTGCGTAAAATGTGTGTATTATGTAAGAGAAGTAATTTGAATATTTTTCAAACAGAACAAGACAATCTGTCGAAACTAAATATAAACTCACAGTAGAAGAATTAACACTTTTCTACAAAGAAATAACGAATTTGTGCTGTGACCTGAAGGAATCTGACGGTGTAAAATTTATACTCGATCAAGTATTACAATTTCAAAAAGAGGCAGAAGAATTGGAAGATAAGGAAGATAACTGTGATATTGAACAGTTAGAGAAATGTATTGAATTCGGGGATTCTATTTGTATTGAATTACCTCAACTTAGTCATTTGAAACAAGTAAGTACACCCGATCCTAACACATTTAAGTCAACATCATGACTCTGTTAAGTAGTACAATTCTACATTTCTTCTTCACAGAAATTAGCGCAGATACAATGGCTCGAAGAAGTTAAGTCTGTACAAGAAGATCCAAAATCTGTACTGCTGCAAGCATTGATGACTGCGATTGATAAATGGGAAGAGAAAGCAAAAATATATCTCCATACCAAAAATCGGCAAACTATATCGTCTTTAGAGGAATTTCTTCATGAAGCTGACGAGGTAGAGGCTTACTTACCAAGTCTGGACGTTCTTCAAGATACATTGACTAAAGCAAAGAATTGGACAAAAATGGTGGAAGAGATGCAAGCAAGGGAGAATTTTCCTTATTACGATACGTTGGATGAGTTAATTAAGAAAGGCAGAAGTGTCCCATTGCATCTGGATGCTCTTCCAATTTTGGAGTCTACTCTTTCGCAAGCAAAGACTTGGAAAGAAAGGACAGCAAGAACATTCCTAAGGAAAAACTCTCATTGCACTTTAATGGAAGCTTTGTCGCCGCGAATCGGAGTTGGTATACAAGCACTGAAAGCTAAGAAGAATAAGAGTGAAGAATCCGTCGGACCTGTCTTCGTCTGTGATACGAAATTGGATGATTCCAATGATTCGGCTACTGTTGTAGCCGCGTTTAAGTTAGCCGAACAACGTGAGATGGAAGCAATGAGAAATTTAAGAGAGAGAAATGTAATTAAAACCGAAATGGACGACTCTAGGTATTGTGTTTGCTGGCGTCCAAGGTTTGGTCTCATGCTTCAATGCGAGCTTTGTAAAGATTGGTTCCATTGTAAGTGAAATTTCGTCTACGTTTACCGGTTTGTACGGAGTTTAAAGGTGGTTTAATCGTACTTGTATGTTTCAGCTAATTGCGTACCATTACCGAAAACGTCGTACAAAGGAAAGTTACCTATGTCCAGAGAAATTAAGTTTTTGTGTCCCTGTTGTTTAAGGTCACGGAGGCCGCGATTAGAAACAATTTTGGCACTGTTAGTTAGTCTTCAGAAAATTCCAATTCGTTTACCGGAAGGTGAAGCATTACAGTGTCTCACGGAACGAGCGATGAATTGGCAGGTGAGACTTGTGTGAAAAGAACTAGCATTAATATCGTTACAAATTATAATGTTGTATACATTTTTAATAGGATCGAGCTCGACAAGCATTGGCCACAGACGAAATTTCATCGGCGCTGGCAAAGTTGTCCGTGTTATCACAAAAGCTTGTAGAAGCAGCTGCGAGGGAAAAGACAGAAAAGATTATTAGCAGCGAGTTGAAAAAAGCGGCGAACAATCCTGAACTACATCAGAGAGTGCAAGCGATTACTCCACTTAGCGGTGTACACTCCGATGATAGCACGCTTAGTACTGCGGTGAGTGTTAACAGCACTAATTATAGCACGTTGTCTGTGGTGTAAACGGAGAACCAAACTAATTTGATTTGCCAGACAACGTGAGCTGAAATTTTTTTATGAATGCACAATAAATTTATATGTACGTGTATATATTTCAGGACGACGACGACGACGTGGTCACCATAGATGATGACGAGCCAACTTGTAGTACGTTCAATAGTAATGAACACACATATTCTTATAGTAAGATTTCTGTTTATATAGAAACAGACCTTTTCTACTCAAAATCGAGTATTCACCACATTTACGTATCTTGTTCTTTCAGTATCTAAAATTCAACGTAAATCACAGTCAAATGACTCGGCCGAAACCGCGGTTATGCTATCACAATCGGCGAGGTCACGCTTAGGGGAACTAATGATGGAAGGCGATCTGTTGGAGGTTGCGTTGGATGAGACCCAACACATCTGGCGCATATTAAGTCATACAAACACACCGACCACCGTTCGTAAGTACGCCTCATACGAGGAGATGCAAGCGAATTTAAACCAGGATTCGAAAGATGTAAAAAAACGCGGAAGAAAACGAAAGTCCGAGGAGTTTGAGTTGTTAAAGAAACTCGGACGGCAGAAGATGGAGGAGAAACATTTGGCGAAACGAAAAGTGCTGCAGAAAGAGAAAAAGTCTGCTAGCTCCCCGGTGCCAATCAAACGTGGCCCTCGAAAGGTATTTAACTTTGCAAATGTGATTTGCCTCGAATTAAAACTTTTATATAACAATTGATATTAATACCTGCGGTGATAATTAAAATTTGTCTGATAATAACGTTGAATGATATGCATTTGAAATTGCAATGAAGTTTAAATTCGAGACGTTGGATTTAAAATCGGCGGAATGAACGCAGTTCTTTGAACATCGTCTAGCTCGATTTCAGTTAAATACGTGTTCCAGATGAAACGCAAGGAAGGCGACGATGGTCCAAAGAAAAGAGGCGGTAACAGGAAGAAGACCAAGCAAGACACTTCAGACGAAGAAGACGACTGTGCTGCGGTCAATTGCTTGCGACCTAGCGGTAAGAATACTTTCTGTTTTAAACGTATCTCGGTGCAGTTGTTATTGTTAGAATATACATTCATTTGAATGGTAGGAAGGGAAGTTGATTGGGTTCAATGTGACGGTGGATGCGAAGGTTGGTTCCACATGCATTGTGTCGGACTGGATCGTACAGAAATCGCTGAGGAAGACGACTACATATGCAGCAATTGCAAGGAGGCAGAACAGAATTCGACGGTACGTTTACATAAATAGCCTGAGCCACACGTTATCAGTGCTATTTTTAGACCAGATAATTCTATTTGTTATTCTTATGTAAAATGATGTTTCTGTTGGCTTTATCATATGTTCTTACGCCTGCTGTCCTTTCTGTAGTGTAAAGTATCGCTTATATTGTTCGTAACGTTTCTGTCCCTCTGTATCGTTCACTTTTGTGTCTTCTGTTATTACCTTTTATTTGCCAAGTAGCGTGTTACGTTCTAGTTTTAGCTCCACTGGTTTTTTTTTCTTTGTGTTATTTATACTGTAGTCGAGAGCGCCAGATCCGCTAGCTGAATCGTTAGGCCTGGATGCACTTCTTTCCCTTTCTCAATCCCAGGGATACCAGGGCACAGACAGCGAAGCGGATATACAAGAAACGACGACATCCTTCGTGAGGACCTACTAGCCCGCTTTATCTCGTTAAGCTCCGTACAAAGGCTAGGGATGCTCACCGATTTCAAAATAATTTCGGCTGCGAACCGACAGTCCGAAACGGTTCAAATGTTACCTATCACTTTTACCCCCAGTCGATTGGTTACCGCAGGTCATCCTGTGCGCTATGCGGTTATTGTTGCGAGCGGTGGTTGCTGGAGATAAAACGAAAGTATTACGTCACTTATCGAATTATAATCCTCTTTTTTTTTTTCACGAGCACGAACACATAATATTTTTCTACTTTTCATTTGACGCACTGTTTTTTTCTGAACGACCATCTTTCGTCTCGTATGTGTATATGTGTGTGTGATGCGTGCGTGTGTGTGTACAGACATTGTATTTTATTGCTTTTGAGATAAGACAGGTTTATCCTTTTGTCAAAAGAGGATTTATTGTCCGAGTAACGCCGATATACGCTCGTTTTTTTTCTGTTCGTTGTAAATTATTTTCCACGCGTTAAAGTTCTACTCACGTGACCGTTCATTTACACCATTCGATCTCCCGTTCAGTTCTTTCTTTCCGTGTTCTTGATTTTCGTTGACGCGTATTCGAGTCTAAAAGATTCAAGTTTAGATACCGTGTACCACCGAGGAGAATCACGATGTAAGAATATCGCGGATGAACCGTGATATATCTGTGCACAGATTTCCGTCGCGGATCTCGACGTAGAGGTTCGATGAAAATGCGTTTCGCGATTCTTGATTGTAAAACCGTTTTTTCTCTCTCTTGTCGCTCGCTGTCCAGTGTCCGCGGGAATTTGGTTGACAAGGTACAGACCGACGCAACTGGTCGACTTAGTGGTTAAAAAAAAAAAAAAAAAAAAAAAAAAGAAAAGCGCTGTTTTGTGAAATACAATTTGTGGCGCGCGGCAGCGATGATTCTGATTGGAAACGTAAAAGGATGGATGGATGCGAAAGGAAAAAGGGGCATTGTTCGATCTGACGGATTTTTATTTTTTGGCCGATCCAGTGTGACAAGGGGAAAAGAAAGATAGCGATGATGGTAGAAGTAAAAAGAGAATGGAATCGTCAGATGTGGATTACTTCTACTTCGAGGAAGATTCCGTCGGTTTTTTGTATCAGCTTTTAATTGTAACGGCGGCGAATGGAATAGGGGAGGTTCGTTCGCGCGTCCGTTGTAGCATGTACAGATAGAGACTGAAGAGATGTGTGTATTAAGATATAGATACTATAAATATATATATATACATATATATATGTATAAGATGAATTAGATTGAAACATAGATAGAGATAAGGTACAGTTTGTATAAAGAAAAGAATTGACACGCAGATACAATGGCATATCTAAATCTGCTTTTCCTGAAAAGTGATTTCCACAAGTAAATTCATCGGATTTTGGACCAGAGTATGCAACTTATAATTAGTAACAAGTCGCGAGAGTCATTTATCTCTCTCGCTCTCTTTCTCTCCTCGTTCTATTTTCGTTTTAAGTTCCGAAACGTGTAGACGGCGCCGAAGATTAATTGATTTCACGGAACGGCCTAAGTAAAGTTTTTGTACTCGAAGTATTATTCAAATATTTTAGTTTTACGATTTCAACCGGCGTTTAAGTGATCGTCCGAATTACATGATTTTTGCTCCTATATATATATATACATATTTTATTAAACAATAACTGGATTGATTTCGACACCAATATTCGATCTGTTGTTTTCTTTTCTTTTTTTTTTCTTTCTTTTTTTTATACATAAACGCCAAACTTTTATCGAATATTTTTAACGTCCAACGCGACGCGGCAGCGCATTCCCGCGGCGTAGCATAATCGAATGCTGACTTGTTTACTTTGTACGTTAAAGTATTACGAGAGATCGTTGTGTCTATAAACGATAAACTAATATCCGTAATAAATTTTATAAATGTCCGTAAGCATTACGAATATGGATCTCATTCTCTATTAAAACGAGCACTCGATAGGGACAAATGTACATCGCCCTGTCGTCGATGTAAAATGAAAAAAAAAAAGAAGCCATTAGACTTTGTGTGATTCGATGTTGACTCTGGTACAAAACCATGCTTCGTATGATAGTCGATAAATCGATCTTCTAGTTACTTTTTAATGTGATTGTTGAACTGAGTTTTTTTTTTTTTTTTTTAAATAAATGAAAAGTACCACGATTCGTTTTTACCGTTCTGGTGCAAATGTGTTATGTGCGTGTCTCTGTCTCAGCTCGTGGTGTAGATCCTTTGCACGGCGGTGCAAAGGGTGCGTTTTTGTGTATAGAGATGGAAGAAAGGAGATACGAAAACTTTTATCATAGATCGATCGGCGAAAAGAGCCAGGCGACGCGGGAAACTTTATATAAATAAAAATTGTTAATGAAAATGAAGGAAGTGTCGGGGGTCATTGGAGTGTAGCTTCCATTGCAAAACTTTAAACTCGACGAATACGTGTTACGTGTTGGAACGGCACAGTTGTTTGTTTTAAAGAAATTCATCCGTGGCCGGAACATACGAACATTTTGAGAGTCACGTGTTAAAATCGCCGACAGTGTGTTTTCATGGATGCTCTGTCATCGACACAGACTTTGTCCATGGAACAATATCGATGGATATGCATATATATATATATACGTTCGTATAACATATTAATATTCACTTACGTTTGGGTCAAAGTCTGCCTCGACGAAGCAGGATTGAAAATATCAGATGATTTCATAAGTCTACGTTTTCATTCGGATGAGTGAATCTTGTCCATGGAACCTTTGAATTGATTTGTTGACACGACTGTTTGTAAAAGTCAGTTTATCTTTGAACAACTGGTTCAGATTTTCTGTGCAGCTTAGTGAGGGTTAAATGTATCGGTGTGATAAGAATGTAGAAATAAAAGGAGCTATATTTTCTATGTTATTAATAATGTTATTAATATAAAGTATATTATTTGCAATTATTTATGTAATTGAAAGTGTATTATTTGTGATTATTTATATAATTGCAAGTGTATATTTATTGTTATATAACAATATACAGTGGCAGAAGTGAATTGCACCACTAATAGTCTGTTCGAATACAATTGATAATATAGAAGAAACAGGTCTTTTTACTGCTGAATTCTTGCTGTGAGAATACTTTTGTACTTTTGTCCCTCTGTGTAATTCCAAATTGCTACGTGCAAGTTTTTTTACTGGAATATACAGGGTGTATCATAACATATTCTTTAAAAGATAATTTAACCGTGTCTTTGTTTATATACACTGTTTCTGCGTTACGTCCTTTTTTGTGCTTCACTAATTTTTCACGACTAGAGCGCGGATTTTCATACAGTCACATCTGTTTGAGGTAATTTGCTCGAACAGAATTTAAATAGAAATTCATTTCTCCTTTTAAGGATTTTATTCACTTGTCAAATAAAATAACATCAATGATTTTGAAATTTTATATTATACAATGTAATAAATATGATTCCATTATTATATTTCATGCAGGTAAGCCTGTTATAAAAAATATTTAATCCACATTCTAATCAGGACTTACGAAATTACCTGAAATCTGTCGGTTCTTTTGGCACGTTCGGTAAAATTTGTTGGCAAGAAAAGAAAAACCAGGTAACAATTACGAATTGAGAATTCTGTTAATGAAATCACTGACGGCCAGTAGAAAGATATGGATCGCTCGATCAATCGGTTAACAGAATTCACTGTAATTCGTTAGAAATCATCCAAGTATGTTTCGTGTCACGGTTAAAGCAGACTGCGTGTCGAGAAGCATCGATGAGACATTATGTGTACACATATATTTTTGTACAGGACACACTGGGGCTCGATGATCCATTCGATTGTCCGGCCGTAATATACGCGGGAACACAGTGAATTTCTAACGATAGTGTTTCCGCTGTCCGATTAGACAAATGACGAGTTTCATGTTTCCTTTTCGTAATAAACGTATAGATGTGTGTGTATTCGGTGTACCAATGAGTGATCCACTGTTTCTTGACGAAATCATCATTCGTTTTTATAAAACCTGAGTTTTTACACATTAGCGATGAGTAACCTATAGCCCCCAAATTATTCACCTATAACCTCCCAATTATTCGCCTAGGGCCTCTAAATTATTCATCTATGACCCACAATAAAAAGTTCTACCTGGAAAATTAACAATTTTCAAATTAATATATTAGGTATTTCAAGGTTACAATTGCAGCAGTATGTTGGTTTTCGCTAAAATTACGAAGACCAGGTTTGATTATTCGGTTTTCAATTTTGGACTCCCTGAAAAAAAATGATTGCTCATCACTGGTCAATACAGTAATTCCTCGATGAATGCGACACGGTGTTATTTCCGTCACTGGAGGGTTCCCCTCTGGAACAAATCAAAACAAAGTAAACAGAAGCTAAGCAGAGGCTCGACTTCGTGCAAAAAAAAAATGTATAAAGAGTTAAAAACCTATCCGCCTTGCTACGAATGTTTCGAAGCGGACTCGAGTTCGTCGCACTCATCGAGACATTACTGTACTGTTCAATTTACATCCATATCTATTTTCCAATGTCCTAAATTATGGTTACTCAGCAAAAGATCGGGAAGATATTTCGAATTTTCGATTTACTCCCTTACAATTAACAAGAACGATGAATTACTTGTTGGTACACGTAATATTATTGGTTACGCGTATTTTATACAAGGTACTTAGAATTATTTTGTAATTAAGCGATCTGTAAAACACGAAAAAAAAAAAAGAATGGTGGGAGGGCATGGAAAGGTGGCATCCACGAGGCACACTATCATTAAAAATCCATTGTGACGAACACAGCTCGAGGGAAGATCGGGTCTGCGTGATCGCTTATGGCTGTCGCTGTTCGCAGGATGGACATACTCGAACATTGTACTTTATCGTGAAACACGACACATTCAGTGCACTATATTTAATACAGTAGGACTTCGTTCATTCGGATACGTTGAGTGATAAGGTGATTAGAATAAGTCGATATTTCGGATAACACAAGGGGTCATTGGTTCTTTTCTCCACCAACATTGTTGATTCGTTTGATAAGAATCGGTGCACTTCAGTTTCTTATAATGAATATTTCGAGTGGAAGAAAAAGTATGTAACGATGAAAAACATATTGTTTGAGAACGAAACGCGATAGAGGATGTAGTACCGTTACGAAAATATTTAGGACAGAGTACAAGAATTCAAAATATTATTTTGAAACAGCTGCTGTGAGGAAATATTTTTTTTTGTTCATTGTATGTTTGATTCCTTCGACGTTCTGCAATGATTACGTGTTCTAACACTTTGACTGCCACGTCACCCACATGGGGGTGACACGAATTTTAATTCGGAACTGAAACATTTTATGGTTGAGTATTCAGTGGATCTACTTTAATTCTTTTGGTTCTGTTTTGACACTGTTTTAATTCGTAAATGCAACATGGAAATCCCTTGAAGGCAATATTTACTTAAAATTATATATTATCGTAATTTAAAATCTTGCGATTAAAATTGTTCATATAAGAAGGGTTAATTAATACCTATCTAACCCTAGAAGGTTAAAAAGAATTACTATTGTGGTAAATGTAGATTCATAAGTTTCAGTTTCATTAAAAAAGATTGTACGTTCGATTTTATTTATAGGTCGATTGTCTGGCAGTTAACGTGTTAACGCGATTAAATTCACAAATACTTTGTGAAACAATAATTTCTCACTAGTAGACCAATATTTAGTTAATTTAAAGATTTCACAATTGTAACATTCTGTTTGTTTCTAACGTTAATTTGTAGTATTCTGCTTTGGCTATGGTCCAGGCCATTTCAAACCTGCCTACAATTATTTAATCCCC